AAAATAGGAAGCATTTGTATACGTTAGAACCACCTCAACAGTCTTAAATAAGACACTTGACTTTTTTTTTTTTTTTTTTGTCTCCCACTCACATAATTCCTTGTTTCTGGTGCCTAAACAGTTTTTGCTGATGGATACTTGCTTGTTAGGTTACAGGCATTAAAAATGCCTTTTTGCTACTTGTTCTGGTTGCCTTCCAATTTTCCCAGTGTGACTTTCCTGAAGACAATCTACTCTAACTTCTAAAGGTTTTGACTTAACTTTTCATTATTCTTAATTTTAACAGGGAAAATCTACAGAAACAACCCACCTGTTAGACCAGAAGCTTCTGGAAAGTAGGACCCGGGCACCCAGGTTTAGGTACTGTGTGAAATGTGTGCATTACTAAGAATCTGCTGAGTCAAGGTCAATCCAGGATATGGACCTCCCAAAGGGAGCTAGGTCTTCCTCACCCAGGAACTGGGCCCTGAACACAGAATCCTTCAGAGTGGCATGCTAGAGACATGGCATGACCTTGTCTGGATGTAAAAAGAGCCACAGCTAGCTGGAGAATCCCAAAGTCAAGGCTACCAAGAAGAACTGTGGAAGAATTAATTACCTGAATAAATAGCTCCTGGAAAGCCAAGGCCACATTTCAGTTCTTTTTCAAGATCAAAACATGAAAGAGAGAGATAACATATTTGACAGAACATTTAATCTGTGCATAAACCCTCTTCCTGCAAGGAAAGTAACATAAAAGGTGACTCATGTATGGAAAGGGAGAAAAGATGGAGCTGATGGTCTGAAATGTGTTCAGTTGTGAAGAGTTCTAGCAGAAAAAAAGTTATGTTAGCAGCAATCAGAGTTCAGCAGTGATTTCTTGCTAGGATGACTTTATTCTTTCTTTTGAATATTTGTGGTCTTGAGTCTCCCTTTCAAATGAACAGGAATTAAAGCTAGCTGGAAAGGTAGTACCCTGGCTTTATGTCTATTCTTTTAATCATGAAGGATATGATGCTCTGAGAAAGTTAATTTGCCATTGATACCAAGACCAGGAGAGGAAGTAGGGGGGAAAAAGAAAAAAAGATGAAGGGAAAAGACTGGAAAGCTATAGACTGAGGAGGGTCCCTTCACACTAATTTTGGAGCGAGGTACTAAGCATCTCCACTTTGAGCTCATTCCTCCCGGACCTTCCTCTGAATTTCTCAGTTGGCTAAATTACTTTGTAGCCTTTTGAAATATATCTTAAAGTTAATTACTAGGAAAAGACACTCTGAAAAGAAGCATCCTCAAGAGTTGACTGAGAAGTGGATGTGAGAATGGATGTAATATTCCTTGATATTAAAGCAAGAGAATGCATACGGGAGCAGGTGCAGGAGCGTACCATCAAAGTCAGAGAGGCCTCAAAGGGAAGACTATTTTCACTGTGGAAAAATTCCGGTTTAGAAGCAATCCTTAGGCCATAGGAGTCTGAGAAAATGTTCCATATTTAGGTCGTCTTCATTGTACACAAGAGAACTCAGGCATGGAAGACACCGTGTGAACACAGCAAATGGAAAGAGACACTTACCCAAAGCATAAAGATCCAGTGGACATCAGAACTAGAATCAAACAGAATCTCTGTGACTGCAACAAATGTGAGAAATATTTCTGCATGAAGTCAGAACTCAAACCTCTCTCAAACATCAAGGAAAAAATACACGCACACACATGGGAGGAAACGAATGATAGCAAACTTGGAGAAGCCTTTTCCCACGGATCAGTCCTCACTTTGTATCAGAGTACATGCACACAAGAGAAACCTTTAGAAGGTAATGAAGGTGGAAAACCTTCTGCCAGAATTAATCCTTAAAATTATCCATACAGGAGAGATATTATCCATATCACATGAATGCAACATAGGCAGGGAGACCTTTTTATGAAGTCAGATCTTACTAAACATGAGATAATATATATGGGGGGGAGTCTTCTGATATTGAATATGGGAAAAAGTTCTGTCAGAAGTCAATCTTGGCTCTACATCAGCAAACCCACTTTAGCTATAAAGAATGCGGGAAATCTTGGGGTGCCTCGGTGACTCAGTTGGTTAAACGTCTGACTGTTAATTTTGGCTCAGGTCATGATCTCATGGTTTGTGGGTTCGAGCCCCAGGTCACGCTCTAAGCTGACAGCATGGAGCCTGCTTGGGATTCTCTCTCTCTCTGCCCCTCTCCTGCTCATGTTCTCTCTCTCTCTCTCTTTCTCAAAATAAACAAACATTAAAAAATTTAAAAAAAAAAAAAAAGAACATGGGAAATCTTTCTTCCAGAAGAACACCTCTTTCTTCTCTTTCTTTTTTTTTTTTTAATGTTTTATTTATTTCTAGGAAAGAGAGAGAGACAGCGTGAGCAGGAGAGGGTCAGAGAGAGAGGGAGATACAGACTCCGAAATAGGCTCCAGGCTCTAAGCTGGCAGTCAGCACAGAGTCTGACGTGGGGCTCAAACCCACGAACCGCGAGATCATGACCTAAGCAAAAGTCGGACGCTTAACCGACTAAGCCACCCAGGCGCCCCAAGAACACCTCTTTCTACATCAAAGAATGGCTGCGGAAAGAAAACCTTCTGTGTAAAGGCAAATCCTTAATTTGGAGACCACACATTAGGAGAAAGTCTACGAGAATAATTAATGATCTGAGAGTGTCGGGGTGCCTGGGTGGCTTAGTCGGTTAAGCATCCGACTTTCGCTTAGGTCATGATCTCGTGGTTCGTGGGTTCGAGCCCCGCGTAGGGCTCTGTGCTGACTGCCAGCTCAGAGCCTGGAGCCTGTTTCGGAGTCTGTGTCTCCCTCTCTCTCTGACCCTCCCCTGCTCACGCTGTCTCTCTCTCTCTCCTAGAAATAAATAAAACACTAAAAAAAAGTTTAAAAAAATTAAAAAATGATCTGAGAGTGTCTTCAGCAGCAATAATACTTGCTTTATCGGAAAAGTTGCAAAATGGAGAAGCACTATATATGTCACATGTGGGGAAGACCTTCACCCAGACAGAATCACTCACTGTTTAGAGGACTGTTAATAGAGAGAATGCTATCAACGCCAAAAAAAAAAAAAAAAGTGGGAAATCCTTCTGCCAGAAGACAGAAATCAGTTTAGATTAGAAAATTCACATGGAAACCCAGAGGAAAAAATGTAGCAAAGGCATCATCAAGATGATGATGGATTGGTCAAGAAGAAGGGAGGTCTGTTTATAGCCAAAGTTTAACTGAAGCGCTAGGATTAGAAAATCATTGTTTTGCAACTGTTATGACAAAAACTGGGTCATACAGGAATCATGGATGGTTACCAAATCTAGGGGGAAATTATAATGAGAAGCAAAATATTTGCAGTGTCTTCAATATGTCTCTCCACAGACTGCCTGTGAGTTGCAAGGGAAGAAAAGATAAACAGAATACACTGGAGAAACTGGACAACATCTTGCCTAGTGATAAAAATCAATATCATCTCTGAGAGGCAGATGGACATTGTATACCTCCAGATGCAGCCCCCAGGGAGGGACAGACCACTTAAACGGTATTCTGGCTCCAAATGCTTAACCCCAACACCAGGCAAACAAAAAACAATGACCATTCTTAAAAAACTAATAGGGAGGATTGGGCTAGTTCTAATAGGGCTAGTTCCTCAAAATTTCAATTTTATAAAAAGGCAAAAAAAAAAAAAAAAGTGGACAGAAATGTTCCAGATTAAAGGAGGCTCAAGAGACACGGCACCAAAGACTAATTCCTGTATTAGATGAGGGTTGATGTTATTAAGGACATTATCAGATCAAATGACAATACTGGAATATAAATAGTAAATTAGATTAAAATATAACATAAGCTTATGGTAAGCGTGTTGCGGTTTTAGGCTCAGTGTAGCCAGAGGAGCGGATAGTGGTAGAAAGGTCCAAAGAGTTAAAATAGTAACAATAAGAGCACCGGGTAAAGAGTATACAGCTCTCAGTACTATTTTTATTTTGCAACTTTTGGAAGCTTTAAATTATTTCCTCAAATAAGGTAATTTTTAAAAAGCTGATCCAACATGTTCTGGCCCCTATCTCCAAAACAACAGGTGTTCCTTTCTTTCTCTCATTTTCCTTTTCCCTCTTTACTAGAGCATTCTGCTAAGTTCAGAAACATCTTCACGTGCCAAAAAACACAAAACCAAACAAACAAATGCACTCCCGGTCCCCAGGCACCCTGAACCTACTGAAAGACTATTCTGCTTACACTGTCCCACTTTTGTACAGTTGCCTTCGACCACCCCAGCCGGGCCTCTGCTGTCACCTGGTACCGAAACTCTCTTGCAGGTGGCCAACTCCAAGGGACACTGTTCAGGTGCCACCCACCTGACCTTCCCACTGTGTTAGCCACACGCTCTTCTTGGAAATAATCCCCTTCTCACTTTGGGTCAGATACCCTTGACTTTCCACCCGTCCCTCCCTGCCTCTAACTTCCTCTGCCATTTCCTAACTGTCTCCCTGACTTCAAATGATTACAGTTCCTAAGGTTCTCCATCCACCCTGTCTGGCTGGGTCATCTCATCCATCCCCCAGGCTTCAAACACCATCTACATGCGGGCGACTCCCACATGTTTTCCGCAGCCCACAGCTTCCCTCTGAATTCATATTTATGCAGCCTGAACGCCCGGGTATGGCAGATAGAAACTTTTCAAACGTAGCATTTTCAGACCTGAACTCTGGGTCTCCTCCAACCCCAAATCTTCTTCCCCAGTCTTCTCATTTCAATAAAGCGCCACTTCTGTTCATCTAAGTCAGAAAATCCCAATCAACAGTTGGATGTTCACATTACAAGCAACATTTTTTTCTTTACGCTTTTCAATGGTTTCAAACTTCCCTATGATAAATATATATTACACTTATGAATACACTGAAGAACCAAAACCTTTCCTTGAAACAGAACAAGACAAAGATGTGCCTTATAGTCTCTACTTCTATTCTTAATTTTGGCTTTATGAAAGTCTAAAAATTAATATTAATTTTCATATTACCGGAAGCATTTGGATTTACTGAAGACATCACAGAATCAGCTTCTATCTAGAAAAGAAGAAAGAATAGCACATATAATTTCATCAAATATTTTCACAGTGGGAGTTCTTAATTCCTGGGGTGTAGAGGATTGTATTTCATGCGAAACAAACTACAGAGTTCAGCAGGCAAGTAATATCAGAGGACATCTGTAACAGTGATTTTATTCCTCCATCTATATCTAGAGTGGGGGTGATGGGTGAAAGAGGTTATTGGGGACTATGGAGGGCACTTGTGATGAGCACTGGGCGCTGTATGGAAGTGCTGAATCACTACGTTGTACACTTGAAACTAATATTACACTCTGTTAACAAACTGGAATTTTAAAAAAAAAACTTACAAAAAATAAAGTGGCATTAAGGCAAAAAATATCTATATATTTTTTTAAACATAAGATACGATATGCTAATCTGCTACAGACCATAATGGCCCCAATACTATTCCATTGACCAACATAGTTTAAACATATATCATCAACTTGGCTGTCACATGACCTAAAAGGTAACTTTTCTATTTTAGACAAATATAAGCAATTGTTGCAATGAGCTCTATGGCTTTATTTCTTAACTTTTTAAAATCCTGATTATGAAAGTAACATGATGCAGAAAACATAAAAAAATATAAAAAATCATGAAGAACATTTTTAAAAACTGCCATCTAATGAGAACCATTATTAACATCTTGGCCTAGTCTGCATTTTTCTTTTTTTATGGCTTTTTATTTTTAAGTTTATTTATTTATTTTTGAGAGACAGTATGGGGGGTGGTGGTGGAAGGGAAAGAACAGAGAACCCCCAAGCAGGCTCTCTGCTGTCAGCATAGAGCCTGACTTGGGGCTTGAACCCATAAACTGTGAGATCACAAACTGAGCCAAAATCAAGAATCAGACACTTAACCAACTGAGCCACCCTGGTACCCCTTTTCCTATGGCTTTTTAAACATGTTTCAGAACATATTCTATACAAGGGTAAGGAAACTGCTTTCAGTATATATTAAAATATGAGAATTTCCTTTACTGTTACAAGGGTATTATAAACACTATGGAATTAGAAACTTGGCAACACCTGACAGTTTCTCTACCTTGGATTCCATGCCTTGCACTTTCCTGGTTCTTTCTGCCCCTGACAGATGGCTCCCGTTGCATCTTCTTCATGGTGCCCATGCCTGCCCTTAACTGTTGGTACTCACCAGGGGTCCGGGGCCTTTCACACTCTGTAATACCGTTCTTGGGCAATGCCACCCCGTCTTATGATCTAGCACCTGTGAACCGAGGAGTCCACAATCTGCCTCCAGCCCTTACCTCTCAATTCCTCACCTGGTTCCAGATTCCTACATTTACAAGCGGCAGCACAACCTGAGAGCCAATCTTTACCACCATAACCTCAACACCAGCATAATAGTTAATGAGTGAAATCACTTGGGATGCTCAGAGCCTCCTCAAACTAATGTGCCCCAAACAGAAGTCATGGACTTTCCTCCAACCTACTTCTTCATTTTCCTACTTGGTAGCATCACAATTGCTTCAGTCCTCGTTTCACACCCCTCTCTTACCACCAACCACATCGAACTATCAAGCAGAACATCTCCCAACACCACCAAGTGCTTCCGGACACCTTGCATCAGAAGAGTCTCGCTAGCTCTTCCAGTCTAAGTGATGCCTAGACCCCTCTTTTCCACTAGAATTTCAAGACCCTCTTCCTTGTCCCTTTCACTTTGGGTTCTTTCGGTTTTTCTCCCATCTTAGTATTTATCACAAAGTTTTATAAGTCTCTCTACACTTAACTGTGAACTATTTCACAACAGAGACTGTATTTTATTCATCTTTAAATCTCCAGCAACTAGCAAGTGTTCATTTTATTAAATACGAACATAATAAATTTCATTGTGCAAACAACTGCATGAGTGTATAAATGATTTATTACATGCCGTGCATTCAATAAATATTTCATTTGCTCGAAATGAAAAACCCTAGGAGGTGCCTAGTTGTCTCAGTCAGGAGTGTATGGCTCTTGATCTCAAGGTTGTGAGTTCAAGCCCAATGTTGGATGTAGAGATTACTTAAAAATTAAAATCTTTAAAATTAAATCCCAAGCCTCAACCCACTATAAAGCCAATTAAGAGAACCCCAGGGTGATCAAAGCAAAATAAAACCAGTTATCTTTCTAGCTGAGCAAAGTTTTACACTTCAGAAGCTGGGCCCATTTAGCTAACCTGCTTTGGAATTCCAGCTGAAATACCTGCATGTCAACAGGAGAGCTGCAATTTCTGGGAGTCAGCCCTGCCTATCCCTCTGAGCTCAGTGATCAGCCTCTCAAGCATCCGCTAGTAGGTGAACCTCCTTGATCCATTCATGGGAGCTATTTGTGTCAACAGAACCTATTTACTATGAAGTGGTGATACACTCAAGTGTAATGAGGGATGCAGAAGTGAGACATCCCTGGTCCTGGCTTTGCTGGGCTTGCAATCTGACAGGCAGAGCCTGCTCTTGAGGAAAAGCTGGACCAAAGTGATTGCCAAGCTGTTTAGTTTAAGGAGGGCACGAAGGAGAGCATTTTAGACAGAGCCCGCGGTTTGATGGCTGAATTTCTTAAACCTGGACAATCCTGTCTCTGATGAATTCCAGTTCAGAATGTTGACAAGAGGAAGCCAAATCCAAAATGAATGTAACAAGGGGAGCAGCACAAAGACAAAGGGGAACAGGAAATTTGTCCTTCTAAAGCAGGACGTTCTTCAAGCTCAGTTCAACTCTCATTATTAGTGAACTAGTGCAAACTTTCCTGGAGAATAATATCCAACAAAATTTCAAATGTACCTAGCAATTGTACTTCCAGGAATTCTTTCCACAGATCTGCGTCCACAAGAAGTGATATCCATATAAAATGATGCTCATCACAACAATGTTTGTAGGAATGAAAAATAACGGGGCAATCTAAATGACCAAAACCAGGAAACTGGCTAAAGAGAATACCCTATGCAACTACTTTTCAAAACATGATGATGTGTGGAGTGCCTGGGTGGTTAAGTGTCAGACTCTTGGCTTTGGTTCAGGTCATGATCTCATACTTCGTGGGTTCGAGCCCTGTGTTGGGCTCCACACTGATGGCGAGGGGCCTGCTTGATATTCTCTCTCCTTCTCTCAAAATAAATAAATAAACTTAAAAAAATTAAGTTTAAAAAAGGCAATGAAACATAGTGGTGTGTGCTCTTATGCTAAGTGAAAATAAACAAACAAAAAAACCCAGGCATACAACGCATCCACTGTATGTTTTCAATAGAATGCTAGGCATGTTTGTTATGCATTGGAAATTTTGTAATGATATATAAAAAAATTGTAAATAATGATTAACCCCTGAGAAGTGGGACTCTGGTAACAAAGGAGGGGATTTTATATTCCACTTCATATTTTGTCTAGATTGTTTGAATTTTTTGACCATGTAAATATGTTTTGGAATTTAAATGAATTCCTATTACTGATGCCCCTCTCCCAGACTTCTCTCTTGACACCTTCCTAGCATCTTCTACTTATTACAATTATTAGTAATCTGGTGGTGAGATAGGCTTCATGAATTTGAATTCATCCTTGATGTAGGTTTTTTTTTTTAATTTTTTCATGTTTATTAATTCTTGAGAGAGAGACAGAGCATGAACGGGGGAGGGCAGAAAGAGGGACAGAAACCTAAGTAGGCTCCAGGCTCTGAACTGTCAGCACAGAGCCAGATGCTGGCTCAAACAGTGAGATCATGACCTTAGCCAAAGTCGGACACTTAACCGACTGAGCCACGCAGGCGCCCCTCATTCCTGAGTTAGGCTCTTAAGGCTAAAATTCAGCACTGGCCATATCTCTGAAATTGCTCTGAAAGGCAGTGATTTTCCTTTATAAACATCCTAAACTAGCCAATGCACTTTACTTACAATCTCCCCACTACTGTATTGTCTGCCCATTCCCAAATATAGGAAGAAAGCTCTACCTTGGTGGGCTTGTACCCAAACAGCATTACAACAGCAACTTTAAAGTCCTCTCTGCTTAGATAGCCTTTGTCATCTTCATCGCATGCTTTAAATACCTAAAGAACATTAAATATCTTCGGTTAGACAGAAACCGTTTGTTCTATTACTTTTATTACTAATTTAGCTCTCCAAAATCTAAAACTCAGCTAGAGAGCAGGAGGGCTCGAAAATGGAGTTTAATTATTCTAATTTTACTTCTCCAGGCTTTATTTAAAAAAAAAAAAAATCTTTGTTTTTGAGACAGAGACAGGGAGAGAGGGGGAGAGAGAAGGAGAGGAACCGAGAGAGAGGGAGACACAGAATCCCAAGCAGGCTCCAGGCTCTGAGCTGTCAGCACAGAGACCAACGCGGGGCTCGAACTGAACTGCGAGATCATGACCTGAGCCGAAGGCAGACGCTAAACCGACTGAGCCACCCAAGTGCCCCTCCAGAAATCTTAATGTGCTAAAATTTACCTCCCCAAAGTGCAAACGACTTAATCGCTAAACTGATGCAAATTAATTCCGTTAAACCCCTGGGGTAAATTCTACCTAAAATTCGGTTCTAGAATTAGGAAGGTGAGGTAGATACAGAGTAGAGGTTATTATTAACAGACTACGTAGCGGGGAAAAGAAAGAACTTGTAAACGGCCAGAACACCGGACAAGGAGCGAGAAGCCTTGCAGCTCTAGGCTCAGTCATTAACTATAACACTTTAGAAGGCCAGTTCAGCCTTTGTCAGTGCAACCGAGCTGAGTGAGACCCAGGCGGGTGACGGAAATGAGAGCTCTCGGTCAAGTTAGAGCCGGAATATCAACCCTCCCGACACCTACTTCCACCCACTTCTTGCGTTCTGAGGGGCTGGCTTCCCACGTCCGTGGTCGGGCCCCGGCCTCAGAAAAAAACATCGCGACCGCCACAACCGAATCGGGACAGCAGAACCCGCGAACTCTGCGGCCCGAATCCGGCAGCTGCAGACCCCGGGCCAAGCTCAACGCAGCTAAGGAAGCTGAACTTGGCCGGGCATCTCCAACGTCTTCTCCCATTGGACGGCCTGCTAGCCACTGGCGTTGATTCCGCAACCCTATTGGCCAAGGTTTTAGGTACGTTTCCTTGGAACAGCCTATGGCAGAGAGGCTCCGGAGCCCGCCCCCAGCCCTGGCTCAGCCATTCACTTGCCTTTAACTCCTCGTGCGCCGCTGGGATCCAGCTCACCTAGGTCCTGCTTCAAAGTCTCTTGGAAGGTTTCTTCCATTTTTCTGCCCCCACACCTTGCAATAAGTTACTTTGGTAACTTTTATCTATGGCACTGTGGTAAACATTATAGGAAACACAAAAAGTGTGAACGAAGCATAAAAGCAACCAAACAGAGCCAAGTCCGTGGATTCACGCGTAGATCGGCAATTCATTGGGGTCGAGCCCTCCAGGATAGTTACTATGTTTGTTTTGTCCCCGCAATAACCCAGGCACCTAGCACGGTGCCAGGTACAAAGCAGACGTTCAGTAAACGAACTAAGTCCTTGGGACGTTTCCTCCCAAGTTTTTCATTCAGTCCTCTGGAAGAGGTGCCTAGTTTGGGGGGGAAAAAACTCCTCTGAAAATAGATATTATAAACACTGTTAAAGTCTAGAAATATGAGGGATGTTCCGTTTTGCAAAAGTTTATTTCATACCTCTCCTGGCAAACCAGTAAGATTAACCACACACACACACACACACACACACACACACACACACCTGTCAAAGAAGATACAGGAATTCGCGGTTGAGTGGTATGGGAGCTCAGTTAGCCTTTTATTTTACAGCAGCAAGTTTTACAAGCATGCTCCCCCAGCGAGCCCGCTCCTTCAGGAACACAGGTCTCAGCCCTCAGCTGATCCTCTACCTTTAAATTCCCCCTGCCTCTAGCTCCGAGTAGCCTGAAGCTGTCTATGAGAATCCCTGTAAAGGGGATGTGTTTTGTTAATTAACTAAGAAAGGAGAGAAAGAGTTAATTGTCGTTTCCTTTTAGGAAAAGTGGTCAGGTGATGAGCCCAGAGTTGGGGGCTGCTGGGGACTCCCTTCCACCCATTCCTGCAGGAAGACACGCAGTCCCTTAGGACCCGGCGGTCTTTAGGACCCAGCGGCCGGCGTCCCGGAACGGGAAGGGGCAGGGCCACGCGGTGCGAGCGGTGGCCGGGAGGGTTTAAACTGCGCGCAGGCGCGGGTAGCGGAAGAGACGGCGCGAACCCTAGGGGTTGCGAGCTCTGGAAGTTTCAGGGGCTTGTTCGGCGGCTTCGGTGAGACCCTGCTCCATCCAGCCTGGTCGAGGTGCTGGGGCTGCTCTGGTCCTGAGGGTTTTGGGGCCCCGCGGGGCTGGAGGTGGAATCTGAGGGAACGGGGGGAGGTTATCTGGGGAAGACCCTGGGAAGGACCGCTCCTGGGCCTCGGCTTCCTCAACCCTAGAACCTATTGGGCGCGAGTGACAGGCGCCGCGGAGAGCAGGGTCCGGCCGGGAGTGTGGGCGTGAGGGGTCCCAGCGCTCGGGTTCTTACTCCGGCTTCTCCCGGCGGCAAGTTGCCGGTGTCCGCAGGCGGTGATGCTGGCTCGAGTGGGGCGCCCACCCTGTGCCAGACGCTGAACCTTCTGGGCTCGGCGTCCCCCTCCACGGAGCCGGTCCGTCGCGGGACTTAGCACAGGCTTGGTGCGAGCGCGAACGGAGTTTCTTCCCGGCAGAGCGCTGCCAAGGGGGCCTGGCCCGGGGTCGGCGCACCTACGAGTTAGCCCCGGTCGTTACTGCCGCAGCGTCCCCGGAATTGGCCCGCTTCTCGGCATCCCCACCACCCGTGCCGGGCCGCCACACGCCGGGGTTCTTCTCCAAATCGTTCACCCGAGTTGGGAAGCGTCGTGTATTGAAAAGGTAAGTCGGGGGTGGGGAGGGGGGGCAGTGCCTCGGTGGCCCAGTCGGTTAAAAGGCTCAGGTCGTGATCTTGCCGTTCATGGGTTCAAGCCCCTCGTTGGACTCTGTGCTGATAGTTCGGAGTCTGGAGCCTGCTTTGGATTGTGTGTGTGTGTGTGTCTGTCTGTCTGTCTGTCTGCCCCTCCCTCGCTAGCACTCTGTCTCTCTAAAAAATAAATGCTAAAAATAATGATAAAATGGTAAGTCGGACCAGGGTACTCCCCCGCTTATTAAAGCATTTTAGTGGACCCTCCCTTCTTGTTAGACTGAAATTTAGCATCTTTAACACTTGATTTATCTTAATTCCTCACTGTCTTCATCCAGAACTACTACCTGCCCTGCCCAAACCCTTATGTCTGCTTCAGGAGCTGTTACAGCTTTGTTCCCACTTCCTGGCCTGGAGGTTGGGCTCCCTCCGCTTGGAACCCCGCCCTTTGTTCCGCTGGTTCTTTTTCATGCTCCAGATCTCACTCACATGTTACTTATCCAAAGTAAGCGTGTCCCTGTTACTCTCTTTTACTTGTAAAATGCTGTTGAGTGTCTGGAAAGATAGCTTGGTTTTTCTGCCCCCACCCCCCCCCCCCAATCTAAGCCTTTCTAGGGCAGAAACTGTTTCAGTGTTAACTCCTTATTCCCAGCGCTTGGCCTATAGTAGCTGCTGGATAAGACCCTGTTGCGTGAGTGAATTCAGGGAGGTCGGTATGATACTTTATGGAGGAGGAAACTGTCTTAGCAGTAAAATAACCTGCCTGATTGCACCTTAACCACCCAGTAATGACTGGATTTGAGATTGGGGTCCCTGTTTGCACAGGAGTGGCCACACAGGGCCTCTGTGGAGAAGCCTGACCCCCACACCCTCCTGAGGGTCTGCACACTCTGCAAGGAGCTACTGGGATCCGGAAAGATACGCCCCAGTTGGGTCTGGTGTGGGGGGAGAGGAGGAGCTAGCAGCTTTAAGAGGACTGCGGTCCTTATAAGAAGCTCTGGTGTTGGGAGTTAGCATCGGTTGGGAAAATTTGAGATTTTCATTCTCCCTGGCAACGTAGCTTAAAGCAGTTTGCCGTGTTTCACTCCTTCATCTCCATCTCCCCAGTTTTTTTCCTCCCATTTAACACCTATATTGTTGAAAGCATTGATTAGAATACACTTTCACGTGAATGTTGTCTTTAAAAAGTAAACTTTGTTTTTGGTGTAAAATGAAATGGAATTAGAAGGTTCTTTCTGTTAGAGGCTTTAAAAAAGCATTCTGGTGCCTGCAGACAAGCCTGAAGTCTGTTGAGGCATTTCTGCACCACTGCAACTCTGCCCTCAACTTAAAGGGATTGGAATGGAAAAGGGAGGTGCGGTTTTTTTTTTTCTCATCCTACTTTGGGGGGGAATGGTCTTTGTCCTCCTTCCCCCACACGTGTTCTAGGAAAAGTAGATAATAAAGTTGCAAGCTTCAGGATTATTCTAAGTAGGTGAGCCACTAAAGAGGAATATCTTCCCTACCAAGTTCTCTGGACTCTTAAATTCTATTTAACTTAGATGTAATTCATCTGGGAGAGGAATGATTGTAGCCTCTAAGGTGTCTGTGTATGGCTTTTTTTAGGCTAGAAGCTGAACCCTTTCTCACCTAAAAACTGCTCTAGAATAGGAAGGTATTAAGGAAAAACAGCCTGAGGACTCTTAATTAAAGATTTTGTTACTAAGGGCTTAGCTTTACTGCTGTTCGAAATTCATTGAAAGCTAGAGATAACGGGCACCTCGGTGTCTCAGTTGGTTAAGCGTCGACTTCAGCTCAGGTCATGGTCCTGCGGTTTGTGAGTTTGAGCCCCGTGTTGGGCCCTGTGCTGACAGCCCAGAGCATGGAGCCTGCTTCAGAGTCTGTCTTTCGCTGCCCCTCCCCTGCTCATGCTCTGTCTCTCAAAAATAAACATTAAAAAAAAAAAAAAGAAATTCGACTCTGGTCATATAGTAAAGGAGTGTTTTGTTTCAGAATAAGTTCTCTGCAGATTTTAGTAGTTTGATTTAGGACAAGGCCAATATGATGGTTGGGTCCTCATGGCAGTAATTCTACATAATGTATATACATAATTGATTATTTGGCACGGTCTTAAGAATTTTGTCAAGCTTTATGGTAAGTAGCTTTAAGGAAGTAAGAATCGCTTAAGTCCTGTGGGCTCCCGTGCTTGGGTGAAGGATAGATTTGTAAACTCCAGTTTAACCTCAAAAATTTGAGTAGTCAAAATTACTCTCAAAATTCTTTAAATTACCTTAACCTCAAGCACCTGTTTAAAAGATTCGGGGTCAAGAATGAACATTTTGATTTTAAAGTTTGGCCCCCACTCTTTTCCTCAGGCATCTAAGGACAAGGTCTGGGTTGAAAGGAGAAGGTGAGTAGGATTTTTGCTGTCAACTTTATTTGCCAGATTCCTGTAGCAAAATCTAGTAATGTGTGTCCACACCTGCAAAACAGCTGATGTCGGTTATGTGGCTCCGCACCTGCAAGAGGTCAGCTGTGTTGTGTGTGTTGCAGAAACTCCTACGGACAGAGAATTCATGAGCAATAGTTTGCCAGTGGCCTAGTGAATGGAAATGACAGTATTTGTCTTTTATTTCCAGAACTATGTCTCAGGAAGGTGATTATGGAAAGTGGACAATATCCAGTAGTGATGAAAGTGAAGAAGAAAAGCCAAAACTGGACAAGCCCTCTACTTCTTCCCTCCCTCATGCTGGGCAGGGAGCAGCAAATAAGCCAAGATACACCTGTTCTGAAGCTAGGAAAGCTGCCCATAGAAGGAAAATATCACCCGTGAAATTCAACACAGATGCAGTTTCAGAAGTTTCACCTCCCAAAAGGCAGAGGAGTGGTTCCCAGGAGGACCTAGGTTGGTGTCTCTCCAGCAGCGATGATGAGCTGCAGCCAGAACCTCAGCAGAAGCAGGCGAAGGACGTGGTGGTCAGAGAGGAGAGAGGCATCTCTTCTTCTAAAGACCGTGCTGCCCAGAGAACCCTCAGTCCCAGCCCTCCTGCACACCCTGGGCTCAAGGAAGAGGAAGAGGAGTATGAAACCTCAGGGGAAGGCCAAGACATTTGGGACATGTTGGATAAGGGGAACCCCTTCCGATTTTACCTCACTAGAGTCTCGGGAATTAAGCCAAAGTATAACTCTGGAGCCCTCCACATCAAGGGTAAGTGGATGCTGCGTGTCCAGGAGCTGTCAGACTGCACTGAAGAGGCTCCCCCATGGCAAAACCAGGAGGGTAACCTAGAATGATCTCCAAGCACCCTTGTTAGCAGTCTTAACTACTCTCAAGGAGGGAAAAAATAGCGTTTTTACAAGCAAATGCATTAGTTTGACTGTAAGTTGTTTCCTGGAGTCAGGAAATCTGTGTTTCTCAATCCAGTTGGAATATTTAGATAATTCTAAACATTGTGTGAGCTTTTGAAAGATTTAATACTTTAATGAAATAGCAAATGCTTGACAGTTCTTTGGGCCATGGATGAGCAGTAGTAGAATCACCTAAAACTTAAGAATGCAAATTCAGGGCTTCACCCAAGTTCACTGAGTCACACTCTGGGAATAGGCCCTGCAATGTGTTTTTAAGAAGTTTTTCAGGGGATTCTAAAGCCCAGTCAGGTTTGAGAAGCACTGCTTGGAAGCCAGGTTTTGGTTCCTGGTGAGGAATTGAAAAAAACACCAGCATGCAAATAGGTCTCAGTTCTGAATCAAAAGTTTTACTTTTGCTTTACTTATTTCCCAGGGTGCATGTATGTGATGTTGTGATGTCCATTCCTGGTTGTGCTTGGATTTTGTCCCAGGCTCCTGCAATGGCTCTAAAGTAATGAAGGTCAAAGAAGGGTCTTTGGTTATTCATAACAAGTCCCTTTCGCTCACACCTGGGTTTCTTAATGAGGTGACTTTTTGAAAGCCCTAAACATAGAGGACTGATTGCCAAGGGGAACCAACTGTGTCATTGAAGTAAGAACTTTGAGCCCTGTCCCCTACCCCTAAGGAAGTGGGGAAAGGCTAGAGGTTGCTAATCACTAGTGGCCAATGAATTCATCAGTCATGTCTGTCTAATGAGGCCGCCATCTTTAAAAAACAAAACGACGCTAGCTGTGACGGGGTTTGGAGAGCCTCCAGGTCGGTGAGCATCTGGAGGTGGGTGGTACACACCCTTTCCCCCATACCTTGCTCTATGCATCTTCTATCTGGATGTTCTGAGTTGTATCCTTTTATACTAACCTGGTAATCTAGTAAGTAAAATGCTTTCCTGAGTTCTGTGAGGCATTCTAGTAAATTCTCAAAGTCGAGGTGGGGCCAAATACAGGATGTCATCAAGAAATTATATTCCTTGTGTATACTTCTCTCATAAAGATAGCTTCCTTAAGGAGACTTGTTCTAAAATCTTTGTACCCCAGCGTATCACTCAATGTGTGGCAGATAGGAAGCACCCCGTAAGAATGGGTCAAATAAATGAGCGTACTCATAATCCTCAGGCAGTTTGATGGTTAAGAGCACAAGTGCTAAAGCCAGACAGCTTGGCTTCAGATCCTCCCTGTCCCTTCCTAGCTCTGTGGCCGTGAACAGCTTTCTAAGGAGACACGCCTCCACAAAACGGGAATGACCAACTCCACCCCCAGAAAATGGACGAGGAGTCAGAGTCCACACGTGGACGGTGATAAGAACAGTGCGTGGCACCTATTGGTCCTGCCCAAGTGTGGCAGTTAGTGGTAATGACCATGTAATTCCTCTCCTGGTACGGTTTGACAAGTGAGCTTTTTGATCTTACTTGAAGTCTAGTTGGAAAGATGACAAGGTGGGACCCCCTTCGACATGACCTGGAATGCTAGAAATGAAAGCTTGGAGTCGTAGGTGAGGAAGCAGGTGCTCTCATGTTCCAGAAGAAGGTCTTGCTAGTCCTGGGCTGGGGAGGTTTCTCAGAGAGGGACTTGAATAAAAGAGGACTTGAATGTTAAAGGAGACAAAAACTGAAATCTGGAAAGAACAGCAAGTATCGTGATGGTCTTTATTGGCAGTGTCTAGAATTGACCAGTCATTGCATTCTGAAGTGGTAGGTTTTAGTTTTACATTGTATTTTGTTAAAGAAAACCCAATAAATAGCTCAAATTTTCTCTCCAAGTTTTAGGGAACATTAAAGTCTAGCTTTGTAGTCACTGCTCAGTTCACTGTTCTCTCAGCCAAATTTTGATTGTCCATGACTAATTGTGATTTTTACAAGATTTTTATCGTTTATTAGACATAAATGTTTTTTCTTCTCAGATATTTTATCTCCTCTATTTGGAACACTTGTATCTTCAGCTCAGGTGAGTTTACAGTTAAACTTTTTCTTTGGATGAAAAGGGATAAAGAACCCTATAGGAAAATATGAATGAGGACCTATCTCAGTCCTGTACAGGGTCCCCAAGGTGGCACATACCAGGAGCCTGGCACCAAGAGCCACAGTTGTGGTGTCCAGCCATCAGCATGGAGCAAGGATGCCTCTATCAGGAGAGCTTCTGGCTCTGTTACTGGGTTACAAGGACTGGGCAAGAAGTGACTTTGGAAATTACAGCCCAAGGGACTTTTTGGGATCTAGTTAATCTCCTGGGACTCTGGTACAACCCCTAGGGAGGTTTGGGTAGGTAGGTGAAGGCCAAGTCATTTGATTCAATTTAGAAAAAGGTTTCCTATACCTACCAAAAAGAATGGAGTAGAATTTAAGGCTACTTCGGCATGTTCGATTCTTCCTCCTTTATACAGCTGGTCCCTTTTGTGTTGATGAATCATGTTAATGCTTCCAGGCTCTCAAGTAAACAGTGAGCAAACCGGTCACATCCATGAAGAAAGCAAAGCTGTCTGAGAGCTTTCTGTTCAGCTTGGCCTCTGGCATCTTAGTCTCCAGAAGGAGCATGGGGTGAATTTGTGTTCTCTTAGCTAGGCTGAGTTGCCATGTCTAGGAGGAGGACCAAGCATTACCAAGGCAGGGGGAGGAGTCCCCACGGGCAAGTTCAGTGCAGAACTTGGGAGTCACGATGGAACTGTTATAAGTCTAGTGAGTGTCCAGTCCCAGACACTGTTCACAAAGCTAGCTCATAAGCTAGGCTAAAAAGAAATGTCTTTTTTATAATTACCTGGGGGAAAGGGGATAAATCTATAAGCCCTTTTATTTAAATTAATCCAAGGGCTGTTGGAAATCTGTAGTAAGACTACTAAGAAATACAACTGCTGCCAAAGCATGCAGGCTCCTTGCCTCAGACCCTGTTTCTCAGGCACTACTCCGCTGATGCAGATTCCTTGCCTTGCGTGTTGCCTTCCAGATGTATTAGGTGTGAGTACTCCAGCATAACTGTCCACGCTTACAAACGTTTGGAGTTTATTAGGCTAGGGTTTCCTTCAGTTCAGCTACGAAACTGTTCTCATTACAGATTGCTTGGCTGAATTACCCATAACTCATTCCTTTTCTTTTCCTGTCTAGTTTAACTACTGCTTTGATGTGGACTGGCTCGTAAAACAGTATCCACCACAGTTCAGGTGAGTACCACAGGATGACTTGTAAAATCGTAACGGTCTCGAGGCTGCTGTTCATCTTTGAGTGTTTCTTTTGAAACTGTTAAGCCTACAAAGTCAAAACTGCACAGGGAAAAGAGCATTTGTTGATCTCTGACTAATCACATGCATTCCTAATACAGACTGTAATATCTGTGTTGTTGCAGTGTCCAGCAGTAGGGAAGGACAAATCCCAACCTAAAAGAACTTTGATATTAACACGAAGGAAAAGATCTTGTTACCTGCTTTCTAGACTTGGAAGCATGCCATGCTGCACCTAGCACAGCAGTGTTCAAAGAATATTTGTAGGTGATCATTCCTGTAGTTGAGGAGCTAGTGACGGGGGTCTTAGAGCTTGCCTTTATCCAGGTTATGGAGGGGATGGATTTCAGTATCATATGTAGTTCCTTGCCTGGTGTTGGGCAGTGCAGACGTAATAAAGGTCACATCACAGTGACCTGCCACCTCTCTTGTTTCTACCATTCACCTAGCAAGTCCCATAACAGCAAGTGAAATAGAGGAATATACTTATCAGAAAACGATTGTTAGGGTCCTCAAAGTCCTTGGTCCATTTAGGACATCAGATTCTGGATACCTTTAGTAATAATAGATATAATGCAATTGAAATTTCTCAAGCAACTTTGACCCTCAAAGGCTTGTATTTGCCCTGTAACACAAAAGGTTAGTTTTAGCTGTGTGTAACAAAAGCAAAAATAACCGTGGCTTAAACGTGGCTTTCTCTTTCTTAAAAGAGAAAATAACTTCTCCAGCCTAAGAAGTCTAGATGGTAGACATTCATGGTGTGGATTGGGGGCTGCCATGGTTCTCAGGGACTTACCCACCCGTTCTGTCTGTCCACCATCCGGATGCCTGTCTGCAGACCCTTCCTCTCTGAGCAGCCTCCTGGAAGCCCCACACAATGCTTGCTTATATTTCACTGAGCTGCCCTTGGTCACAAGATAATGTCTTTTTTCATTGAAATAGATCCTCTTCATGAGTCTGCATCATGCTGTGGACCTGGACTTGTTCAGTTTCCTATCTCCAGGGACTAGTGCAGTGCCTCGTACACAGGAGTTCAGTGAATATAGGTCTAATGAGGAAATGCTCTTTGACTTGATGCAAAGGAAGGGAAAGAAAAGAACATTATACTAAACAATAATAGTTTATATTTTAATCTAAGCTTGAACACATGAACACAGAGCCAACTATGTGTCCTTTTGGATCAAAGATGATAACTAGGAATTCTGGAGTCACAGTGTCTGTGGGTCACAGCAGAGCTTTACGATCAGGCCACATGACCCCATTGTAAAGGTAACCAGTTAGTGAAGATTAACTGATTAGTACTGTTGGCTCTGTACTCAGTTACCACAAAGGCCAGAAACCCTTGTCGTAAGGAAACTAGCATTCCTTAACTGGTCAAGAGTCCAGCTTTAGAAAAGATATATTCCAAATATTTCTGATCTCCTTTCAGGAAGAAACCAATCCTGCTTGTGCATGGAGATAAACGAGAAGCTAAGGCTCACTTACATGCCCAGGCCAAGCCTTATGAAAACATTTCCCTCTGCCAGGTGAGCTCCTCAGTGCTGTTTGAGATCTGCTTATTACTCTGAGAGTTAGAAGGAAATGTAGACATTTAGTCTTTTCTCCATCACCAACAGATCCCTGTCTAGCTTTGGCTGAAGTGCTTCCCGTGATAACCTGTCCTGTGTGTAGGTAACCGTGTGTTGGAAGGATGTTTATGTTGACCTGATATCTCGGTATTAGGGTTCTCCAGAGGAACAGAACAAATAGGGTATGTTCATATATAAAGGCTTATTTTAAAAGAACTGGCTCACATGATTGTGGGGACTGACAAGCCCAAAGCTGTAGGGGCGAGCCTGCCGGCTGGAGACACAGAAAGGTAGATGTCGCAGCTTCAGTCCAAAGACAGTCTGGAGACTGAATTCTCTCTGGCTTGAGGGAGTTGGTCCTTCACTTAGACCTTCAACTGACTGGATGAGGTCCCCAAAGAAAGGGTGATTTATTTAATCCCATCTACTACCTTAAATGTTAACCTCATCTCGGGGTCCCTGGGTGGCTCAGTTGGTTGGGCGTCTGACTTTGTTAGGCTCAGGTTATGATCTCGCGGTTTGAGTTCAAGGCCTGGATTGAGCTCTGTGCTGACAGCTCCTAGCCTGGAGCCTGCTTCGGATTCTGTGTCTCCCTCTGTCTCTCTCTTCCCCTCCCCTGCTCGTTCATGTGCATGTGCTCCCCCTTTCTCTCTCTCCCTGTCTCTCTCTCCAAAACAAACTTGAAAAGAAATTTTTTTAAAACATTAACATCATCTAAATGCCTTCATGGCAATGTGTGACCAAATATGTGGGTACAGTGACTGAGCCAAGGTGACACACAAAATTAATCCTTGGCATTTCCTTTTACCTTTCACACGTGGGTCCTGACTTGCCTCCTCTGGAGCCACATAAAAGAAATCTCCTTGCAGATGTGAGTGATACTTATATTTAAAGTCCTCCATTGTGCCTCTGTAGTTTTCTTTCAGGTTCAGGCATTGCTTAGTTGTAACAAGAATCCCGATCTTTCCCCAACCTGCTGGGACTCTTTGCATCTAGTTTGCCTGTGTCCTTGAACCTCACCAGGTTCTCTGGATGCAATTCAGTGGTGGTTTTCTGTGAGTGCAGCTTAAAACTTCTTATTTTGACACCTTATCTGACTGGTGTTAGCTGCTGCTGACACTTGACCTGTAGTCCTCTTAGATCTTCCATGTGAATCGCGTCCAAGGTCTGTACTGGACAGACGTACAAATGAAAAGTAAACCTGTTAGAAAACTGTGAGTCGTGATGGAAATGATCCAAGCCTCATGAGGGGACACTAAGTGGGCTTATAACCTGTATATCTGTTCGGTTTGCTGGGACCAAAGCAAAGTAGAAAAGGCCAAGAAGTTGTTGGCCAGGTTCTGTACAGTTCCATCATTCTGTCCTAGTGCTTTTCAGCCAGGACATAAAAATACAACGTGAGTCTTGGACTCTAATTAAAACTGGTTGATTTTGATTCCATGCCTGAAAGAATATTCTGTGTGGCACTTCGTGCAAGAAACAGGCAAACTGGGGAGAGAAAAGCAAAAATTTTTCATAGTATGATTTCCTCCCTGTGGAAATAGTGGTTCTGAAGTGGCTGGTGTGATGTTGACCTTTGCTATTTTAGCGGGCTGATCGGTCCATTTATGAACTGCTGTGATAAGACCCCTCCGTGGCCCCTTTCTCTCCTTGTCGGGGTAAAATTGCCTCGAGATTTCTGCTCTTGAAGTGCATTGACCAGAGTGAACTACATAGAACCTATTCTCCATCTTCTTTTTAGTCTTTTCTCCTTGTCTGTATAAAATGTAAGAGTTCCAACTCCTTTTAATGTTATTTCAATTACAAAACATTATCTGTGCTACGTGGTTATTTTTAAAGATTAAAAAAGTGAGAAATCTCAATCTGATCAATCTGGAACCGGTCTCAAATTTTTCCTGTGATTTAACCCTCAGTACCCAGCATGTAGCTCACCTTCACACCTGCAGAAGCCTCTGCTCATCTATGCCTAAAATCCCATTGTTTTGCTTTTGCTTCCAAAACCAGAAGAGGTTAAACTGCAGTAGGATAGTTCTTATCAGACTACTAATGGACAGAAAATAACAAAGGAATCCTGAAAATCAGGGATGAAATCAGTGGACACAAAGTGTTTTTCAAATACTAGGTATCTATGTGCGGAAGTCCAGGTGTGGCGCGTGTCTGGTGGCGTGCCCCATGCCGGCCACTAGAGGGCATGATGGCCCACCGTGCTTCTTACGTTTTGCAAAAAGTGTTCAGCCCTCCCCTAAAGTATAGGAGGATTGTGGCCCCATCATGACTTGTTGAAATGCCGTTATTCCTGGTCTATAAGATGAATTCTTGGCAGTTTTGTTTTTGGCAACATAGTGTTATTTGATGAAATGGAGGCATACCAGGTGCAGAATCCGTGGATACTCCATTTTGCATATGTGAGGCCTGGGCCAGAGATGGAGGCCTTATGGTGGTCAAGGTCAGATCGCCTGGGTTCTGTCCCAGTTCTCCACTTATTGTCATTCTGGATCCATCACTTAATCTCTTCAAGCCTAACTTGTTGATCTTTAGGAGGGATTGCTAATAGTCTTCACTAGGTTGTTGTGCCGAGGATTTAGTGCATTTGCCCCAAAAAAGCATCCATTAACTATTACCTGTTGAAATTATCATGCCTGTGCTTGTACTTAAATTTGCCAGAGAGCAAACAACTGATAGCAAAACTAAACCCAAAAGCCAAGTTGCCTGACCATTGCTTTTTCTGAGCTAATCATCCGTTTACAGAGAGGCAGTCCTCATTCTGACTTTGTAATTTTAAAGACCTGTTGCTTTCCTCTTTTTTGTCTTCGGCAGAGCACACAAATGCGTTCTGGTCTGTGCGCATCGCTAAACACTGAGCTTAAGCGTGTACGGAGCAGGGCCACCTGTCTGCAAGCAACCCCAAGACAGGCTCTGTCCCACTCACCTGGGCTCCACTTGCCTGTTTCTGCCTCCAGCAAACAGGTCCACCCATCTGCCCTATTGGGTGGAGGGCTTGATTTTAATAAAAGCACTCCCTTCCATTTGTAGAGTGCTTACCCCATTCAGGCACCCTTCCAGGCTCTTCATGCTATTGTCTCATTTATTCCTAAAACTCTGAATTCCCTCACAGTATCATTAAAGAGAAGACTTTACCCCCCCCCCCAAAAAAAAAAAAAGAGGAGGCCTAGAGATTTAAGCCTTGCAAAGTTATGAGGATGGAATTTCTGTCCCAGCTGCATTCCTCACTGTTTTGACCTTTCTGTTTAACTCTTTCATAGCCTACATCTCGGAGCATATTCTGCTTAACCAAGGTCTTGCTTTACAATGTTCTAATTCTCCACCTACCCCTGTTTGTAGAGGTATCATTTTGTAATAGGAAAATTGATTGTTACCTCTTTCCAGCACTTGCTATGTTAACCAATATAAGACCGCTTTTGTTTTAACATGATAATGTATGCTGCTACCACATTGCTCTTTTAAAAATATTCTGGAAGCTCTGATAATAATTCCTATACAAGCAAATATCTATGTATAAAACTGCATAGGTTCTCATTTGTTTTGCACTTTTGGGGAGGGTAAAGAAATTAGGCTTTTGTTTCTGATTATTGTATTAAAAAACCTGGTATGTATCCGGGCATGTGGGTGGCTCAGTACCTGAAAGTGTCTGATTTTGGCTCAGGTCCTGATCTCATGATTCGTGAGTTCGAGCCCTGCGTTGGATGCTGTGCTGACACTATGGAGCCTGCTTCGGATTTTCTCTCTCTCTCTTTCTCTCTCTCTCTCTCTCAGAAATAAAACATTTAAAAAGTTTTTTAAATACTTTTTTTTAATGTTTTTTTTTTTTATTATTTCTGAGAGAGGGAGAGAGAGAGAGACAGAGAGACAGCATGAGCAGGGGAGGTTCAGAGAGAGAGGGAGATACAGATTCCGAAACATGCTCCAGGCTCTGAGCTAGCTGTCAGCACAGAGCCTGATGTGGGGCTTGAACCCACAAACCATGAGATCTTGACCTGAGCTGAAGTTGGACGCTTAACTGACTGAGCCACCCAGGCGCCCCTTTTAAATACTTTTTTAAAAGGCAGTATGTATCAAATCATTCTGGCTAACTTACATCTAATGAGCCTCACTGGATAAGATTATTGAAAGTTATATTGTCAATCCAGGGCTTTTCCACTAGAGGGCAGTAAAAACAACTTAAAACAACTTTCTCTCTCTCAGAAATAAAACATTAAAAAAATTTTTAAAAATAGATAGGGATATTGAGTTTGTTAAAAATAAGTGACTCAACTTCTTTTTCATCCTAGGCAAAGTTGGATATTGCATTTGGAACACACCACACGTAAGCAAATTTTTATGAAATGGGGAGGGTGTGATTTTAGTAAAGCAAAAGATGCTATTCCAAAAGTGCCCCTAAAGGAAGTTATGGGTGACCGTTTTTCCCCGGGGGCGGGGGGCGGGGAATCTGTGATGTGATCTCTGCTTTCTGTTGAGGACATTTCTTACAGCCCATTTGGGGGGTAGGGTGGGCAATTGATGATGGCTGCGTGGTCTGTGGTTATGGATGACTGTACGTGTCAGTCATGTGCCTGTGGATTCCACAACTTTACAGAAGAAAGGTCTGGTGATTGTTTAAGATGCTGAGTTGTATTACCTAGAATATTGTTAGGTCAGCTCCGTGCTGTGATTGAAAGAAAAACTATTTTACAAAGCTGACTTGAAGATGATGCCTGTCTCTGCTCAAGACCTATCAGAAATTTCTCTTTTAGAGTAATTCTGAGACTTTATAAACCAGACCAGAAAAACTTCTCTTACTTCCCACCTGACATATTGTATCTAATGAACAGTTTGACTCCTGTTCTACTGAGCCTTTTTACATATTCTGTAAATGAGAAAAAGACGATATGGTTGTATTTCCGTATTTGTATAAATCACATTTTGCTAGAAAAGGTTTTCGAAAAAACAGGACCGAGCCTCCTTACCTGGTGCAGCCGTGGAGAAATGGGTCAGTGCTCAGACGTCCTCCGTCAGGTCCCAGTCTCTAGGGCAGCAAGAAATCTCCTAGGAGGAAATTGCCCTCAGTCTTGCTGTGACCATCGTTTCCTTGATGCGATGGTGACTTGGAACAAGGACTATGTCGTCTTTGTTTGGCAATGTTGAGCATTCTTGGCAAAATACGGTTTGAAACATAAAATCAGGTTTAAAAAGGAACCAGAGCAGCAAGAATGGAACCGTTTTCTAAGAGGACACCTACTGACCTTACATTATCTGCTTGTAGGTGCTCTTGGATAAATGTTCATGTTTACCATCCATCCCTAATTGGTGTCCCCTAACAGGACCGGTTTGAGGATTGTTGTGAATTTAGGCATTTAGGTCAGGTGTAAACAACTCCTTAGTAGCATCCAGTGAGCTCCGTGCTAATTTCAGCAGAAAATACAAAGTAGCCTTGAATAGACTGAAAAAGCATCTCGGGCTCCCCTCCCTGCATCACAAGAGACCCAAGTGGTGGATGGCAGTTGTCATCCTGTCATAGGTAGACATTCTACAGTAATTGTGCCAAATGGATCCTAGTCCACTGCTCTTAACTGGAACCCTAGCATAAATACCTTACTGATTGTAAAATATGGCCACTCACTTGGGCCCTGGACATGATTTGCTAGATCTTTAGTGCCAGCTTCCTGCACTGGCCACACATTCTATGCCCGCAGTCAGCATTTCCTTGGCATAATCACACTACACTTACATGCTGAGGAGGAGAGCCTGCATCTTCCTTCTTCCTCTTTTAAGTTTGAGAGCATGAGCAGGGGAGAGGCAGAGGAGAATCCCAGGCAGGCTCTTCACCATCAGCACAGAGCCCAGCGTGGGGCTCAAAATCATGAAGAGTGACATCATGACCCGAGCCAAAACCACGAGTCAGATGCTCCAACTGACTGAGCCACCCTGGCCACCCCTTCTATCTTCCTTTCAATTATGCTGTAAGTTCCATGAGGGGCTGAGCATGTTGGGCCTGGCTAGGATCTAACACGACCTCTGATTGATCCTACAGGGACTATCCTTTTTGTAAATTTTTAACAAATTACTTGGTCCTTCCTTTTCATTACATAGAGGATCTGCATAGATAATAGTTACTTTCAAGCTGCTTTTGGAAACAGGACTAGAACCTGTTTGGTTTTCTTTTGTTCTTCGGGGGTTTTTTTTTGTTTATTTTGAGGGAGAGCACACACACGGGAGGGGCAGAGGGGGGTAGAGAGAATTCCAAGCAGGTTTCAAGCTGGCAGCTTAACTGACTAAGCCACCCAAGTGTCCCAAACCCATTTTAAGTTTTTATTCCCATTTGTCTGCTGCTAAAGTTGATCTCGCTTTTTTCCCTCCCTTTGGTCCATTTCTTTCCCATCCCTCCCCCCACCCCACTACACACTTACCAGGTTACACTGCTCAGAGTTCCTCATTTAGGGTTGTAAATGACAGCAGCCCTTCCTGGACACGTAGTCTGTGTAGTTTATTGTTTGTTAAAACGCCAGTATCTTGTAGGAGATTAAAATTGTCGTGTTTCTTTTTTTTCTTAACTCAGGTGTTAGTGACTTTCAGTGGCTCATTTAAAAATTTTAAAGAGGGGTGCCGGGGTGGCCCAGTCGGTGAAGCACACGACTCTCAATCTCTGCTAAGGTCACGATCTCACGATTCGTGAGTTCAAGCCCTGCATCAGGCTCTGCACTCCTGGCGCAGAGTCCGCTATGGATTTTGTCTCCTCCTTTCTGCCCCTTATCTGCTTGTGTGCTCACTCTGTCTTTCAAAATGAATATGCTTTTAAAAAAAAACCTTCTAAAGGATTCATTAAATACCTGTTATATTGAGACACAGTTCTAGTGTTTTAAGACCTAATAGTTCTTGCGGCTCTTAGTGCTTTGATGAGAAAGGGGAAAACCTAGGATTTAGAAAAAGAGGAAACCTTCCAGCTTGTGGTGCTGGGGTATCAAGTGCCTCCCCAACTTGACAAGGTGTAGTTAACCACAGTAATTGGGAAGTAGTCTTTGAGATGGAATTCACTTTAGTAAGCATGTATTGACCGTGTCCTGTGCACAAAGCATCTGGAGCTGACCACGAAGTAGCCCCTTTCGTAGTCCTCCTTGGTACAGTTAACCCGCTTTCTTCAGATTTCCGTAGAATGCCACACAGTCCAGGTCCTGTCACCCAGTGCTTTAGAACTCTGAAACTTTTCAGTGTCGCCTAGAGTTGGGAGGAAAAGTGCATCTGGCCCTGAGAATCCAAAGCAGGGGAGGAGGGAAGCCGAAGCTGCTCACCGGTGACTGTCTCCACCTCACTGGGGACCAGTGGCAGATTGTGGGGTGCGCATGGCACCTCTCTGCTGGTGTCTGCAGCCAGGCCTCCCAGCACACGTGGCTCAGTCCTTCATCTCCGCGAGCCATCTGTCCCAGCCATCCGCCTGCTCGCACACCGGTTGTGTGAAGTACCTGTGGCCCTGTTCTTCCCTCTGGAAGCCGTGCCCAGTGAGAAGGTGATCCAGGCAGTGGGATCCAAACAAGCTCCTCTGGCTCATTTGGGAACCTTGATCATTCCCGTTACCTACCTGGCCGTAGACCGTGCAGTTGTGAGCAGAGGTGGAGAGCCTCCGGGATGGCTGTGCGGACTCTTCTGCAGAGCCTCCGGAAAGCCTCGCACTGGGTGCTCCATGGACCTTTGTCATCTTCCCCCTTTACGGGAATAGCGTCAGGTGGGGGAACTGTCCCTCTTGCTTCCCCCGCAACTTACCAGATCATATGTAGGTCAGCATTTCTCCAAGGGTGCTCGCGTTTCTTACCCTCTATCCATTTTTATGACTTCATTATTTCATGCCATTTTGTCTGTGAAGAATATGGGTCCCCTCCGATTAGTTCAGGATTCTGTTGGGGAGGCTTCAGTGACAGCAGTACATGATTTTCCTGATAATTGATGCCTTGATTAATGGAAATATTTGTGAAACTTACATCTTGAATTCATAACCGGTCGTCTTAATTACAGTCAGCTGCTAATTTGGCAACTGCGTATGTAAATCTGCCCAGATTTGGGGGAGCACATTTCATAAATGGAGAAAAGATTAGTGCAGCAGCTGTCAGTTCTCCAGCTTTGCATTAACTTGCTGTTTGCCAGCTTGGGTTAAATTCCCGTTTTGGCCAAAGCTAAAAATCTCCTTCTCTTTTCTTTGCCATGCCTTTTTATGCTAACTCCATTCTGTCCAAGTATTCACATTATTTATTTGGAGAGCACCAGTGGTCCATTTTGCCCCCAGTGTATGAACTGACCTCAGTAGGTATTGAGTAGCATTTTGGCCCCAATGGATATAAGGCAGAGCTACTGCCTTGAGGAGTCTCTAGTTCTAGGGAGAGAACATAGATCCCTGCAATAGTTAGGAAACCGTTGGGGAGCCAGGAACCTTCCTGTAGGAGATGACCTAATAAAGTAAAGCAATGAAGGAGTCCTGGAAATGCACATGTGGAAGAGTTGGTTTCAAGAATGCATGTTAGTTACATTTTCTTCCCCCAGCACTGCAGCGAGGAAGGGGTTGATCCTTCACTTTATAAGTGGAAAACTGAGGTACACTGAATGACGTCCCTAGTGTCATACAGCCTCCCAACTGGTGAATGGAGTTAAGGTCTGCCAGCTTCAAGTAGAAAGCTCTTCTCTGTATCTTGTTCCTTCTCGCTAGAATTAAGAGAACTCTGATGACTGGAGGCTTGGGGAAGCAAGGTCCACCACAAAGGGAGGACTCACTTGGGTCTGACTTGAGTAAATGAAAAACCGGAAAGACTTCTTTCAGGCCAGACACATTGGTGAGGAGTGTGGCGTGTATAGAGTGTGAGAAAAGATAGTCTTAGAACAGTGAGGCATTTAAAGTGCACCCTGCATTAGAAAAGGCCGCGTACATTTCAGTCTGTCACACGTGTCCCTACTCCTGGGCTGAAATAAGAATCATTTAAATATCTACAGTATATTTTAGAGTTTCTTACCTTACTGCCATTTCTTTATTCTTAGTATTTATTGTCCAATTGGTTTCCATATAACACCCAGTGTTCATCCCCACAAGTGCCCTCCTCCATGCCCGTCACCCCCTTCCCCTCTCCCCCACCCCCATCAGCCCTCAGTTCTCAGCATTCAAGAGTCTCTCATGGTTTGCCTCCCTCCCTCTCCCCCACTATTTCCCCCTTCTTCTCACACATGGTCCTCCGTTAAGTTCCTCCTAATCCTCCTGTACGTGCAAACATAAGGTATCTGTCCTTCTCTGCCTGACTTATTTTGCTCAGCATAACACCCTCAAGGTCCATCCATGTTGCTACACATGGCCAGATTTCATTCTTTCTCATTGCCATGTAGTATTCCATGGTATAGATAAACCACATCTTCTTGATCCATTCATCCGTTGATGGACACTTAGGCTCTTTCCATGATTTGGCTATTGTTGAGAGTGCTGCTCTGAACATTGGGGTCCATGTGCCCCTATGCATCAGCACTCCTGTACCCCTTGGGTAGATTCCTAGCAGTGCTACTGCTGGGTTACCTTACTGCCATTTCTTTTCTTTTCTTTTTTTTCTTTTTTTCTTTTTTTTTTTTTTTAAGAGAGAGACAGCGTGAACAGGGGTGGGTCAGAGAGAGAGGGAGATACAGACTCCGAAATAGGCTCCAGGCTCTGAACTGGCAGTCAGCACAGAGCCCAACGCGGGGTTCGAACCCACGAACCACGAGATCATGACTTAAGCGAAAGTTGGACGCTTAACCGACTAAGCCACCCAGGCGCCCCACCTTACTGCCATTTCTTAAAAAATGCTAGGCATCATGTAGTGGGAGATGGTGACCATGCGTTGAAAACCATTGGACAAGAAGGTTCCCTTGTCCTAGGTAGTGGCAGATAATCCTGAATAGATAAAGGGCCTTGTGGGCGGAACATCGCAAAGGTTCACTTACCAATACTTAGAGCATTTTGGAATGTGGTTTTCTACCCATCACTTAAGTAGACTTGGATTTTAATAACATGTAGAAGAATTGAAGGCTAAAAATACTAGAAGTTTGAGTAATAGAAGAGTTGAAGGATTCCTTTAGTAGCTATGATATTTGCCCTGAAAAATAGTACGTGTTTTGAAAGTAGTGTTAATGCCTTTGTTCTCTTCTGTTTTTAAAGGAAGATGATGTTCCTGCTGTATGAAGAAGGCCTCCGGGTCGTCATACACACCTCCAACCTCATCCGTGCTGACTGGCACCAGAAGACTCAGGGGTTTGTGGGCTTTTGTTTACCTCACGGCAGTGGTTGTGGTGGCATCGTGTTACTCTTTTCTTCTATTGATTGTGTTTAAAAAAAAAAAAAAAAAAACTGCATGTATGGCATAAAAGAGCCCTACACAGAAATGGTACTTTACTCCCTCCCCCAGCTCCACTCTCTTGACGTAATGGGTGTTAACAGTTTGGTACATACACATCCGTGATGAATATGTATGTAAACGTACATTTAAATGGGATTATACACCCAGCAGCCAAGCACATGAAGCGAGCATATGCAAAGGATCTGAGGCAGGATGGGGTATAAAATGAAAGGTCTGAACCCATTGTTTTTCTGGTGAGACCCGTCAGTAACTTTCTTGGTCTCCACTTAACCCTTACAACCCACTTAGACTCTTGCTTGCCTTTTCCTAAATGGTATTGAAGGGAAACTTCATGGTTCATCAGATGCTAAAAACTTCCCATCATCCACTTATTTTTCCACACAAGAAAGCTAAATTGATCTTCGAGCCTTTGGTGTGTTCATATAGTTGTGAATCTCCAAGAGGAAAACTGACTTTTTGTTGTTGTTGGGTTTTGTTTCTGGTTTTGGTGCTAACTCTGTCCTTGGCACACTCAGGCTAGATCTAGCCCTCGAGATCTAGCTTGGTGGTTTTGTTCTGCTTTAGTAACTTGCTCAAATCAGCTTTTGACTATTCTCCCTCTTGGTAAACTCTTGATTCTGGCTGGCTTTGATTTCCATTCGTTTAAGTCAGTTCGTGCATCCTGCTTTCTCTCAGGTTGGAAGAAAGTCGAGCATTCTTCTGGTCCCTTCTGGGGTCTACATGTCCTCCACTGCCCTCTTCTGCCTTCTCTTCCTCCCTGTCACCACCCAGGCTGGGCTAGAGTGCTTACAGGACCTTATAGCCTCCATCCTGTGGGCTTGCTTCAGCCCCAGAGCCGCGTAGAACGACAGTACCCCTCCCCTCCCTTCCTTGCCTTCAAGTTGGGAAGGCAGGCTTGTCCCCGAGCCCGACATCTCTAGCTCTCTCTCTTCACTCCCTCTCCCCACCATGGCAAGTGGCTTAGAGTCGCATCGCCAGTGCCTGATAGTTCTCCTGTAAACAAGTTCTAGTTTTTGAGTGTTCCATTTAAAATATGCTTCTCCAAATGCAGTGAATTCCAACTCGTTCAGGATGGAAGGCATCTCCATGGTCTGTAAGTCTCAATTACACAACTTGATCCACTGAGTTTCAGGTCACCTATGCTTTTGCCACTCCTAGAGTTTCTTAGCTGCTGGGTTGGGTCTTTGAACCCATGAGTCATATGGAGTTGATATATCAAGTTGGCACTTAGTCTTATGTGGCTCCAATAATCCCACCTGTGGCCTCCAGCTTTTTGTGGAGGGGCTTGAGCCATGTTCTGTAGGTCTCTCTTGGGTGGCTGCTGTGGAGCAATGGATTAAGGGTAAGGAGTCGGATATTCAGGTTTTTTTCCTTTATTTAAAAATTGGGGGGGGGGGGCTCCTTGGTGGCTAAGTCAGTTGAGCATCTGATTTTGGCTCAGGTCGTGATCCCACAGTTTGTGGGTTCGAGCCCCATTTCAAGCTTTGTGCTGTCAGCTCAGAGCCTGGAGCCTGCTTTGGACTCTGTGTCTCCCTCTCTCCAAAAATAGACCTTAAAGACAAGAAAATTTTCTATAAAAAAAATAATTTTTTTTTCATTTAACTCTTTAAATTGACCTGGTAATAGCTTCACATTGTTTAAAACTTAAAGTACCAAGGGTATGAACTCTTCCAACTTCCCTGTGCCTGCCACCCCTGAGTAGGGTACTGTTCTCTCACGTTTAGTCTAGATTCTGGTCTCAAACTTGCATTTTTGTGTTGTGGGTTGTAACTTGTGTAAGATGTTTAAAAGCAGTCCTTTTGTGTAATCTTCGCGGTGGTTCTACTCATTACACTCGGCAGATCCTTTTCTGGTGAACAGGTGTTCCGGCCATCCTTTCAGCTTCTGCTCAATCTGCCTGTTAATTTCTCATGTTTAAAATTATTTGGCCCGTAATAATTTCACATCTTAGTTGGTAAAGTGCTAAAAACACCTCGCATCTCAGTATCCTGGTTTAGTAAGTTGTCATCTGTCAAGTTCCTCATTCCACCAGACACGGCTGAGAATGAGCCACTAATGTGGGAAGAGCCCAGTAGCTTGTGGGCTCTGAATTGCTCTTTGTGATGGAGAGACTTCTTCCTCCAGCCCAGTGTGCTCATTATATACGGCGCTCCCGGAAGTCCATGGGCTGGCCCCAGAACCTGGGCTACAGTCCTTGTCACACATGGTACCCCTTGTACCAGGGGTCTCCTTGAGGTGGGAAGGGAAGGTATGACCTCCTACCCTGCTAGAAACATGGACAGAGTTCAGAAGACGTGCAGCCAGGGTCCTTGTGGTTCTGGGTGCTTCCTGCCCTGGTGGCCTGCGTCTCGGTCTCGCCAGTCTCCTTCGAGTGTCCCCAGGTGAAAGGACTTGGACAGTTTCTCTTTGGGCTTAATGGGATAATACATGGGATTAAATATGGCTCAGTGGGATAGCTGCTGGAGGGAAAAAGATCCTCAGTACTGGTGTGAGCCCGACATTGGTCATGACCTCAAGTGTGAGGCACATGTGTCCTGTGAGGCAGGACTGCTAACCTGGTTTTGCAGTTGAAACTGAGCGCAAGAAGTTTGAAGCCATACTTGTCTGTGATCTGTCCTGGAGCACTTCATAGAAGGGTGGGGTTTAGACCTGCTTTTCCCACTTGGGGGTGTAATATAAAAGTTTGGGAGAAGGGCATGGTTTTCCTTTGAAGAGAATGGATGAAAGAGATCTTTAATATTTTGTTAGAGGATTTGAAAGTCTGAGGTTAGTGTAAATGTATCATTAAACGTGGTGTCACTCCTTCCACACACCAGAAAAGTACAGGATATGAAGATATCTCCCAACAGCTATAGCATCTACATCGTGAAAAAAAATTTACTTACTGAAAATGGATTTGTATATGCCTTTTTCTTAGTATAGATGACTTTTTTCCATTTGGCCAAAGAGCTACATTGGTGTAGCCTGCTGGGCTTACTGCGTGTGGCACAGATTTGCTGTAGCAATTAGGAGAAGAGCTGTTACCTGGTGCCACCAGGCCTTAGCAATATGGAGTTGGAGTTGGGGGTAAAGAAGAATGGCGTGGTAAAAACATAGAGCGAGTGTTCAGTTGTGAAAGGTAGGCTGAGGCCAAATTTTCTGGGTCCTAAATTCATGGAAAGGGTGTTAAATGTAGAAGCATTCTGAATACAATGGAATCATTGTAGTGGTGCGATGAGATCTATGCTTCCTGATTCCTAAGATCCATCGACTCACCATGTGGACGCAGCTGATGAGATTCGCCTCCTCCTTAGGGTGAATGTGCAGTCAGCACACAGATATCATTGTGATCAGTTGAATTCCTGACTGTTAATGTTTTTCTATTCCAGAATATGGTTGAGCCCCTTATACCCACGAGTTGTCCATGGATCTGGAGAATCAACAACACATTTTAAAGCTGATCTTATCAGTTACTTGATGGCTTATAATGCTCCTTCTCTCAAGGAGTGGATAGATGTTATCCACGAGCATGATCTCTCTGAAACCAAGTATGTATTTTTAGCAATTTGGGATTCTTAAAGTAGGTTAATACCTTGAGAGCCACACGGTGCCTGTACTGCAGGGGCCTTAGAGGTAGAATGGTATTTGTCTGTCCTTCATAATACTAGGAGAGCAGATTTTCTCCCTAACTGTATCTCCTAGATCTGAGGCACTAAAGTGGAAGCCGGTAAATCTTCCTGCTCACCGTCAGCCTCTCTCTGGAGTACTCTTAAAGTTACTGATTTCTTTGCCTGGTGCCTTAAGCCATGTGAGTGGTACGCCATGATTCGATGTGCTTGAAAATCAGTTTGATATGTTACTATTCTAAGGCATCTGAAGAAAATAGGTGGTCTTTCAGAATCATGTAATTTCATGATTACATTAGTTTCACGTCTATTTTGTGATTTGGGTGGCGAGGGGGCACAAATCCCATCGCTCTGTTCTATAATTTGTATTTTATATCCTTTTAGTGTTTATCTTATTGGATCGACCCCAGGACGCTTTCAAGGAAGTCAGAAAGATAATTGGGGACATTTTAGGCTTAGGAAGGTAACAGAATTTTTGCTATTTTAACGTGTTGTTCTTTTAACTTACATTTTTCATTTATAATTGTTTGTTTTGATGGCAGCTTCATAATAACACAATTCTGGGTGAACTTGATCAGTTGATTATAGTTCTCAGTGATTATTTGCTCCTTGGTTATTTGCCTCTTTTAGAAGTGTAGACAGCTCTAAATGGCAAAAGTAAAAGGACTTTGTTAGTTTTTATATTTCTTAAAGAGACTTATTTGTTCGGCTATTGTAGTTTTGGATTGTTTTCAGCATGTAAAGGATTTTTAACATGCAAATTCAACCAAGAACAGAAAAATACTGTTGACTAAAGACTACAACTGTGCTAGAATGTATTTTATTAACCAGTGCCTGTAAGAGTTACTGCAAAAGTGACATTTGCTGCTGGTACAAAAATGAGCAAAGAAAAGTCTTTACTAAAATAAAACCACAAGCAAGTAAGATTAAGGTGTTCTTCATCTCTGTTTAGGAGACATAGTACTGACATTAATAAACTTGAAGTGGCTTTCTTAAAAGCTTCATCTTTTTCTATGAACTGATTGTCGTGTAAGAATTACCCTTGGTTAATGAAACGTTTTAAATTTGCTTTTTTGAAATGAGACCACAGCTCCAAGCAGGCGAGGTCTTGAAGCCAACATCTTCCCGTCTTGACCTAGAGAAGGCATTAGAGCATACAAAGTGCATAGCTAAGTCCGTAGATTCCCATACCTGGGTTCTAATCCTCACCTATTTACAAGTCCATTGACCCACCTGTCCTCTGTAAAATGGGTTAAATATCACAGAATTGCACAAGGATTAGATAGAGAACGCAAGGCTCATGTTGAATGTTTGCGGCACTGGTTAGTGGTTACCAGTGTGTGGACTGTCTTGTACGTGTTGTCTAGGATCAGTCTTCCTGGAAGATAAAGAACGTCTTTGAGTCTTGAGACCATTACTCACAAGCTCATGTTATATCACAGCTGCCTTCCTGGGAAGACGGGAATGAACAGACCTCTCTCCCACTGACCTATAAATAGAAGCACAGAGACACGTCCAGGGCAGTGTAGCCAGTGAGTGGCTGAGCACCAGAACAGAAACTGGCCCTTGTAGCTTTCCACTTAGGCCTGTTGTTTACGCCATGCATCAGGGTGGACATTGAGACTGAGGCTTTTCGGCAAGTGTGTTTATAATGCCTAAGCTGTGTTAAAGAAAATAGTGCATGTTAAACTAATCAGAATATTAGCTTCATTTTTCTTCAGCCTCTAGGTAGTAGATACTCAGTACATGTTTAAGTAGTTAAAATTTCCAGATACCTTTTTTTTTCCAGATATCTTTGAACTGTTTCTGTAGCTTTCAGATCACGCACCTGCAGTGCTTAATATGTAAACATATTTTTTATAGCATCATCATGGGGATCTCAAGTGTTAAATCTCTTTCAAATGATAGGAGTCAAAATATCCAATAGCTTGTATATTTTAGGTACTATTTCAAGGCAAGATCCCATTTCATATGGCAGGCCAGTGATTTATGTGACATTTCTGCATTTTTCTTTTTTTAAAAAAAATGGTTTTGCTTTAATAAAATCAAGGAATTTTGGAAGATTACTTCTATCCACCTACTCCATTAAAATATTTTTAGTATCAGAAGAATATTTTCCAAAGAAGAAGTGTGAGGATGAAATTGATCTCTAATACTCTCAGCATTTTTCTGTTGATTGTGCTCCAGGGACAGAAAGCTGTGTTCTGAGTTGTTAGAGCTTTTCTATTAACAGCTTCTGAAAGAGCATGCCTCGTCCGTACCTAAAGGAGAGTCTTGGCCGATAGTAGGTCAGTTTTCAAGTATTGGCTCTTTGGGAGCTGACGAGTCAAAATGGTTGTGCTCGGAGTTTAAAGAAAGCTTGGTGACCCAGGGGAAGGAAAGCAGGACCCCAGGGAAAGGTGCTGCTCCACTTCATCTGGTGAGTGTTCTTCCTGCTTCAGTAGGGGTGTGTGTGTGTGCGTGTGTGTGTGTGCGCACGCGCGCGCGTGCTCTAACCGTGGTGCAGGAGAATCCATCCTCCTCCTCATACAGATTTTCTTCAATGATTCTGGGATAGAAGCGGCAGGACCTTAGCACCATCACAGGGTATCAGGTGCCCCTGATGTCGTCTGGTGCAGGGAGTGGGCTGCTTTATTCAGAGCTCCTTTTTAGCCACAGATGAGCCTATGACTTTTCATTCCTTCAGGTTTTCAAGCAAAAAAAAAAAAAAAAAAAAAAGTTAATAAAGCATTGCCAACAGAATTATGAGCATTGGAGACTTTTGAATACCTAGTTTTGCACTGAGCTCTGTGTTGGGCATTTTTGAGGGGAAAAAGACTCAAATCCAAGTGCAGTTTTTTCCGTCGAATATGTATACTTCCTGTAGTTCACTAGAAGTTCAATTTTTTCATAAAGTGAAACTTTTAAAGGGTTCAAAGTGTGTAAAAGAAATATTTCTAATGGAGACTTTCATGTTATTAGAAACATGTCTTTTAAGAAAGATTCTTTGGCGTACATTATGAATTTGTTTTGTTTTTCCTTTGTTTTTAGATCTATCCTTCTGTGGAAAACGTGCGGACCAGCTTGGAAGGCTATCCCGGTAATTGTTGGAAACAGGCTGAGTTGAAATTTTTGTTTTCTATTTCATAAATGCCCTGGTAAACTTTTGAAAACAATAAAAATGCCATTCTCCTGGAGGAAAGTACTGATAAATTTAGAGAATATTTTCTCTGAACTGGCTAAGAATCATAGAAATGGGTAATGCTAAGCACTCATATGTTCCAAACACGCTACCATGCAGTTGGGCGGTTTGGGTAGGTTATTTCATCCTCACAGTAACTCTGAGTACTCGCTGTTCTCGTTTCTACAATAAGGTGGTCACTTCTGTCAACAGTGGGGAGCTCGTCCAGACAAACGTCCAGATAAAACCACCTTTCCCTGCTGCGTCCTGCCTTTCCAGAGAAATTCTAACATGCTTTTCTCTGATCTCTCTCTCTCTCTCTCTCTCTCCATATATCCTCCCTGCTTGTGTCTGTGGCTCTGTGTTTCTTTCAGTTTTGAATCCCAGATACAGATGTATTTAAGGTCCAAAACTTCTGCTTAATCCTGGGATGAACCTTTGTTGTCACATAGTTGATCTTTGCACTTCATCTGTAAATGCCTGGATGATTTTGTAGGCCACTTCCGGTCTTCTTTGCTATTTCCCTTATGCAGTGCTAGACACGGAACTTGTATTTGGATTCCAAAAGCCCCTCAGATAGCACATTTGGGAGGTAATAACCAAAAACCCAAGCAGTGTTTGCCCCTGGAAAAAGGAAATCTGATTGGCATTTGCTTGTGGCTGGAACCAGAATGCACGGAATTAAGTTAATTTGGTCATTTGTTGCTTGTCAAATTAGATGTGACTCTCCCAGGGGTGCCTGGGTGGCTCAGTCGGTTAAGCGTCTGACTTCGGCTCAGGTCATGATCACCTGGTTCGTGAGTTCGAGCCCAGCATCGGGCTCTGTGCTGAACGTTTGCTCAGAGCCTGGAGCCTGCTTCCGATTCTTGTGTCTCCTCTCATGGTCCCTCCTCCCCTCACACTCTCTCTCAAAAATAAATATTTAAAAAAAAATTGTTTAAATAAGATAAAAAAAAAAAAGATGTGACTCTTTCAGAAAAATCTTGGTAAGGTTTGAAATGTATCAGCCCATTTGTTGCTGCGTAATGGCTAAGCCAAAATTATTACAACAGGACTCAAGGATCTGGTGATGTGTTGATTGGTTTGTCTTATCCTTTCTTAACTTATAATACATTGGATCCATTCAGAATGTGCTTTTTAATGGGAAAGAACATGGTATTTTCAATAAAGCTATTTCATAACTGGTCCTGAATAGGTTTTTAGTTTTGTGCAGTAGAGGAGTCAACATGCCTTTTTTGAGGAGTTGGGAGAAATTTAAAGCAATCTTTGGAATATAGATTACTTTTGGGGAAGTTCCAATATGAGTTTGGAAATTCCGTGGATCTACAGTGGAATTTTCTACCTTTAAAACATGAACAAAAATAGTCTACTTATTGTGTTTCCACATCGAGCTGTATCTTTTTTGTTGTTTATTTTGAGGCGGAGTGAACAATGGGGGGGAGGAGGGAGAGGGCATGCACGCTCATCCCAAGCAGGCTCCACACTGTCAGCATGGAGCCTGACATGTAGGGCTCGAACTCCTGAACCGGGAGATCATGACCTGAGCCGAAACCAAGAGTCAGAAGCTTAACTGATGAACCACCCAGGTGCCCCTGGAACTGTATCTTTATTTTCTATGCAAGAATATGGCTTTAGGATTCCTTTTTTAAAAACTTGACTGTTCACTGAAGTGTAAGAATGTTTAATTAAAAACTCTGCTTAGAAAGAGTGGAGTGTAAAAGGTGAAGGAAATAGGAAGAGCGTGTCTCTCCTCTTAATCTACCCCCCCATCCCCCCACCCCCAAACAGCTGTTCTGTTCTTGGGCCCAAAGGGAGATGCTCCAGACCAGGGTGGGGCCAAGGATTTCTCCCCGTCATGAGGACTACAGGCTAGGCCAGGATTCTTTATAGAGTTTTCCTAACGCTTCAGATCTATGCTGTTAGACATGTTAAATTACTACCCCCGAGTAATTAAATAACACCTTTTTCTTTTCAGATCGTAAACATTTACATGTATTCCTAAGAAAGGAAACCCCACTGAGGGAACATACCTAATAAAAGTATAGACCTTTTCTTTCCAAGTACTGCTTCATAAAATGAAGTAGGAGGTGGTTTTTGTCCCCCTGCCGCTGTATTTACTATAGATTCTTAATGAAGGATACTCAAGTTATTTTCTGTAATATTTATTGTTTTCTTTTAACAGCTGGCGGCTCTCTTCCCTATAGCATTCAGACAGCTGAAAAACAGAATTGGCTCCATTCCTATTTTCAGTAAGTAATTGGTTTAGAATGCTGCTATTGCTTCTTTAGGAATAAGAATGTTTTTTATGTCAGTCTTATGTTTTAAAAAAGAACCTTACATAATATAGCTGTGTTTTTTCCATCTACGTATGTTAGTGATAGAAATACTTTAAGCAAGATTTTGAATATTATTTGGAATAGGTTTTTAATACCAAAGAGTAAAATTGATCTCTGCAAAGATTCTATTTAAATACTGGCACTCAAAGAATAAAGATGTTGGGTAGTTTAGAATTTATGTAAGTAGTATTTTTTTAAAAAAGTTGAGTTTGATTGTCACAGTGGTACATGAGTTACAGGTGTAGAACGCAGTGACTCAGCAGCATTGTAGGTCGCATTTCCAGGATGGAATTCTTCTGTGGGAACACGCATGTGCCGTGGCTGCAGCTTGCTGAGGGGGGAACCACACTGCTCTCTCCAGGATGTGGGCTGGTATTGGGTTTGGTCAGCGGTTGAGTGGGCAGGTGAAGGGACGGTCTTCCGTCACCTTCTTGTCTCCGGGGTGCACATTCTACATGCTCTGGGCCCATCCAGGCTCCCGCTTGCCCCAACGGGTGTTAGTTACACCACACCGCACGGCTGGAAACGGGCAGAGTGTCTCGGCAGCTCACAGCCTAATGCGTTGTGTCCTTGTGGGTCCCATGGGAGGTTATCCCTACGCAGGATGTGCCTTTGTATTGAATTTTTTTCACTATTCATTCAGGTGAATTTAATGATCAAGAGAACAGTCTATCTAAACCCAGTTCTGGTCTCACACTCTTCTCACGGGGAACCATCCTCTTTAAATCTGTAAGCAGAGATGGTTACCTCATGACGTAGGTCCTTTTTTCCTCACACAGAACCTCAGTCCTGCTGTAGCTGACAGTTAGAAACCAAATTCAGATATGCGCACGGCAGCCTTGGGCTCCAGTGTTTCTGAGTTATCCTCCCACTTTTCAGCATTGCTTTAATATCCTATTGGCTTTTTTCCCATTTTGTACTTTAGTTCCAAAAGCTCGTACTGAGCCCATACTTCGTAATGCACTGTGGGAGCAGGACTCCTGCTTTGGAGTTGCTCAGTCCACAGACCAGACGTTCAGATAGGCGGTTGAAATCACAACAGAAGAAAAGTATGTGTGTATGCGAGTCTTAACGAGAAAGCTGTATACCAAAAGCTCACAGTATTTTTTTCTGTTCTCTACACAGAATTTTAAAAAATACCACAGGTTCTGTCACAGAACTGTGTACCCAATTTTTAGATTATAAGATTCTGCTTTTTGTTAAGTTTCCTATTATTATGATTATAATGGATTTGTGTTTTCTTACTGTGTTGTTTTCCTGTCACTAGCAAATGGTCGGCTGAGACATCTGGCCGCAGCAATGCTATGCCACATATTAAAACCTATATGAGACTCTCTCCAGACTTCAATCAGATTGTCTGGTTCCTTGTCACAAGGTGAGGAGGCCTTATATTCTTGATGGGAAGAATTTTTAAAATGTGTTTGTAACTCTTGCTGTGAATATTAATAGGTTTCCATTAGGTTTCCAAAAGGTGGTATGTAAATGGTTAGTTTTCAAAGGGTGTGTCTGTCTTCTGAGCCTTAAGAGGCTTGTGACCCTTTGTAAAGCTTGTAATCATTACCTGATTTTAGGAGTCTTTATACTTTTAATCTTTGCACAAAATTTGTGATCTCGTTTTTTTTTAATACTTCAATAGTAGAAATTAGGCAAGTTAACAATTGGGGTAAATACAGAAAAAAAATGTGGTAAAAGTATCCCTTAGTGACTTTTCTCTTAGAAAACTGACACTTGACCAATCCAGTCTCTTTAGTGTGTATTTTTAAAAATTTTTTAAAACATCTTTATTAAGATATAATTAATAGGGGCGCCTGGGTGGCTTAGTCGGTTAAGCGTCCGACTTTCGCTTAGGTCATGATCTCGCGGTTCGTGGGTTCGAGCCCCGCATCGGGCTCTGTGTTGACTGCCAGCTCGGAGTCTGGAGCCTGTTTCAGTCTGTGACTCCCTCTCTCTCTGACCCTCCCCTGCTCATGCTGTCTCTCTCTCTCTCTCCTAGAAATAAAACATTAAAAAATTAAAAAAAAAAAAGATATAATTAATATACCTTAAGATTCACCTATTTAAATTCTTCAGTCTAATGAGTTGGTATATTCTTAGGATTGTGCAATCATCACCATAATCTAATTTCACAATTTGCATTACCCCCTATAAGAAACTCATTAAGCTTTTTTTTGTATTCATTTTTATAGTAGGGTAGATTGCTGTGTTCTCAGAAAAAGGAAACTAGACTAGAACTTTAGTTCCTGACTCCTAGTCTGACTGAAGGCCATTAAGGCATCTCTTAATGATTTAATGACCCAATGATGTCAATTCTAATAATTATGGTATCACTGAGTAGAATGATTTCTTTAATGAACAGACTTTGAAGCAAAAGTTTAAAAATACTAATGAACAAACTTTAAACAAAAGAGCCAGTTAGAAGCAAAACCAAGTTTCTTTCCTTAGTTTGCCAAAATTAGTGGTTATCCTGGCTCAGGATCAGGAATGGTGACCTGAAATGTGTCGGTGGCATACATTAGATGGCAAGAGTGGGCCTCTGGATGGTTTGTGAGGCACCATAGCATAATGGAAATTTGACTCCTAAAAACTTAAGATGCTTTTCTGTCATATACTAGCTCTATGAACTTGAAATTTTATTTAATCTGAGTCCATTTCCTAGTCTATAAAATGGGAAAAGTAATGGGTGCCTGTTGGGGTTGTTAGAGTTAAATGAGATGCTAGAGGCTCAGTACATATGACCTATGAGACCCTAGGACATGATAGCCGTGATTATGCTTGTACAGGTTTCACCATCAAGACTGAAGGACGGCCAGTGGGATTGGTCTGCATTTCTTTGCTGTGGGTCTTTAAAGAAGCTTCTTTTTTTCTTAAACCTTTTGAATGTTTGTTTTTGAGAGAGAGCATGTGAGTGGGGCAGAGGCAGAGAGAGAGAGAGACATACAGAATCCAGAGCAGGCTCCAGGCTCTGAACTGTCAGCACAGAGCCCAACGTGGAGCTTGAACTTCTGAACCAGATCATCACCTGAGCTAAAGTCCAATGCTTAACCAGCTGAGCCACTGAGGTTCCCCTAAAGAGAAACTGTATCTTCTGAAGAAGGTAGGTTTCTTGATGGGAAGCCTGGGTGGCTCAGTTGGTTAAGCGTCTGACTCTTGATCTCAGCTCATGATCTTGCAGTCCGTGAGTTTGAGCCCCACATCAGGCTCTGTGCTGACAATGTGGAGCCTGCTTGACATTCTGTGTCTCCTCCTCTCTGTCCCTTTACTGCTTGTGCTCTTTCTCTCAAAAAAACTAAAAAATTTTTTAAAAAGTAATAGTTTTCTTGGGCATGAAGACCTAAATTAGAGATTTCCTGGGTAGAAAAGTCATTGCCTGAGACAGATAGTGCTAGGGAGAACAGAGATCTTAAATGTATGTGTCCTCTCTTTGGGCAAGTTCATTCCCCATTTGCCTTGGTGAGTATGAGATTGTTATTAATCCCCTCCCCATTTCTATTTGACGTAACACCCTTAAAGCTAAACTATTCAAATATGCCTCAGTTAAGAGAAGTTATCAATAGCTACCCAGCCTTCTACAAAGCTAACCAATAAAATTTGGATATATTATGGATCCTTGAACATGATCCAAAGAAATTAGATCTCGAAAGAGATCACATTTCAGTGTCAGCTCACCTGTTCAGTAATTGTCTTTTAAGCTAAGTTATTAAGTTGCAAGTAGTAAAAAGAAACCATGTTAAGTCCTAATATGAAAAGCCTGGCTTTTCCTATCCTGGTGCTGTGACTGTCACTTCCTGCATACCAGGTGAGGAATTGGTGAGGCTAGAAGAAATCTCTACCTGCTTCCATTTCTAACATGCTGCCACTGGAAATATTCCAGAGTAGTGAGCCATCGCTCATCCCAAGGGCTACTTTATCATACGGCTCTTGTTTTGTTTTGTGTGGAATACCTTAAAGGACTCAACAGTCTTCTCCATCTGGTCTGACAGAATTGTCTGATGGTGTGATTGCATCCCAGGGCTCGATTCATTATAATACTTAGTACTAGTCAAGGTTCTACCTGAAGTCACACCACTTTGAAGGTTGAATTGAATTGGAAGGCTATACTTCCAACTTCAGTTAAAATCTTACCTGATTTTCCTGCATATAGGAAAAGATAGAGAAACGTATACATTATTTGGTACAAGTATTCTGGTCTAGCATCGTCATGTTATCCTGCTGGGAAACCTGGTGCCTAGAGAAATCCTTCCAAGGGCTTACAGCTCTGCTTTTATCCACAAAGAAGGAGTGACCAGAAGTGTTTTTTGTTCTTTCCTCCATTGGTTAAATGTTGCCTCCAAGATGTGAGTGGATAGGAGTCCTTTGTGTAAGAGTTCTCCCTGTGGGCCTTTGAGGTTAGCTTGAGATGGAAATCCTGGTGCTGGGAATCCTTGGATAAAGAAGAGGAGATGATGTTTGAAGAGCTGGCCTTCCTGTGAAAATGGAAAGGTTGAGTCCAGAAAAAGCAGGGACAATCCTCTTACACTTCGGTGTTGGTCAGGGTTCTCCAAAGAAACAGAACTAGCAAGTGAGAAACACACAGATTTACTGTAAGGAACTGACCTGTGATTGATTGTGGGCGCTCAAAAATCCAAAACCTGTAGGGCAGGCCCACAGCCTGGTGTAGCTGTTGCAGTCGCGAGTGTCTACTTCATTGGAAAAGTTGAATTTACTGTCTGTCTGGGGATTCTGTTTCCTCAGAGTGGAGTTAAAAGATGGATGTGCTTCACTAAAGTTGGGTGTTTATCAATCCGGTGTTAAGGGTATGAAGGGAGGTTGAGATTAACACTGAATAACCCTTTCTAAAGGCACAGTTTTTGTAGTTGAGTTTAATGATGGCATTCGTTCAGCTCTGGGAATAGAACACACATGACCCATGCCACGCGGGAGCTGCAGAAAGAGATGGGACTCGAGTTGGACGCTGGTTTACCTGTGTACCAGTCTGGTGGAAGCATCCTTAGAAGTGTATTATTCTGGGGGGCAGGGGGGGGTGGGGAGCGGCACACCTGTGTGGCTCAGTTGGTTAAGCATCCAGCTGAAGCTCAGATCATGATCTCACAGTTCATTAGTTCAAGCCCTATATCTGGCCATGCGCTGACAGCTCAGAGCTTGGAGCTTGCTTCGTATTCTGTGTCTCCCTCTCTCTCTGTCCCTCCCCTGCTTGCGTGCACTCATGTGCTCTCCCCTCCCAAAAATAAGTGTTTAAAAATAACAGTGAGGGTGGGGTCGGGGTGGGACAGAGACCAGCTAAAGGTAAGGCAGTGGTATTTCAGGTGGGCCCAGAAGTATGCCTGAGAGAAAGCCAGGTGGATTGGAAGGGGAATCTGAACAGAGGAAGGGGTGCAAAGGCCGTGGAGCTGGAAAAGTGCATGCGGATTTCCGGGCAGATCTGAGGGGGTCTGCAGCTGGGTGCACGAGGACGCGCACCTCCGGAATGGATTTTCTCAAGCTATGGCACCGTATGTTCTTACGTTTCAATTCACAGTTGATGCTTTCTGGACTTACTGAATATTTGTTGGTGGTTTTGTATTCTGTGAATGTATGCTTTCGTATTGATTGGATATTACTAAATTCTAACTTGGAAGTTAATTTGTTAAGAATTTGAAATTTGTCATGGATTTGTGGCTTCTAATTTTGTTCAGGAATACCTAGGCTAAATACTGTCCATTTACCAAAAAGTATAAAGAATAATTACAACAACTGTTTGGTGATATTAATATACCAGACCCTGTTCTAAGCACTTTTCGTGTTCGTTTAATTTTCACAACTGCTCCATGTGGAGCATGGAGAAAGTGGTGAGGTAGGCTGCCATGGTCCCCCAGTAGTTACCTGGTGGAAGCAAGATTTGAACCCAAGACATTGGACTGCACAGCTGGCACTCTTCATCTCAACCTTCTGATATGTCTCATTAATGGTGGGAGTGTGCCTGTGTTCTGTTTTTGACTAGTTAAGTCAAAAACTGCATCACACTTTGTGGTATTGAAAAATAATAATAAAACCACCTGGCATGCCAGTATTAAAAGCTGTCTGAGAGGCACTGGAAGTCATTTAGAAAAAACTCGGAGCCCACTCACAGCCCTTCTGCTGTGTAAGGAAAGGTATAGATCCCACAATATGAGTCACCTCTGCCCGGAACGCACTTTGTTTTTTCTTGGTTTGCTGTCTTATCTCGAAGCCAGGACTTCCCCAACTGAGCTCTCCATCGTCAAGAAGGATCTTTCTTTCCCAGCTTCCCTCTTGGCCATGGCGGCACGCGCCCACTCCTTTGTCCTCAGGCTTACCGCCCCGTCATCACCTTGCTGTTTCTGCTTCGGCGCACTCTGCAGCAATTACTGAGGCCCTTCC